GTAATAATAATAACAAAAATAATAACAATAATGATAATAGTAATAATGATAATGATCATGATAATAATTATCATAATAATGTTGTTATTATTTCTTCTTATCTTTATTATTATTACTATTGATATAATAATGATTATTATTAATAACAGTTATTACAATTATCATTTTAATTGTTATCATTATCGTTATTATTATTATGAATGATAATGATGTTAAAAATAATAAATATGAAACACAAGGACAGACAGGTCATTAGAAAATAAAACATTTAACAACACTGTTTATATAATTGTTATTCGTCTGGCAACGGGGTAGCGGGCCGGGGGGGGGGGGGGGTCAAGGTGGGCCTCGTTAAAATGATTTAAGTGTTGAAACATGACACGTGGTTAGTTAGGGAAGTTGACACGGGCCCGTTCAGTAGTCTCTCTCTCTCTCTCTCTCTCTCTCTCTCTCTCTCTCTCTCTCTCTCTCTCTCTCTCTCTCTCTCTCTCTCTCTCTCTCTCTCTCTCTCTCTCTCTCCCTTCCTCCTTCTCCCTCTCTCTCCCTCCCTCACTCTCTCTCTCTCTCTCTCTCTCTCTCTCTCTCTCTCTCTCTCTCTCTCTCTCTCTCTCTCTCTCTCTCTCTCTCTCTCTCTCTCTCTCTCTCTCTCCCTTCCTCCTTCTCCCTCTCTCTCCCTCCCTCACTCTCTCTCTCTCTCTCTCTCTCTCTCTCTCTCTCTCTCTCTCTCTCTCTCTCTCTCTCTCTCTCTCTCTCTCTCTCTCTCTCTCTCTCTCTCCCTTCCTCCTTCTCCCTCTCTCTCCCTCCCTCACTCTCTCTCTCTCTCTCTCTCTCTCTCTCTCTCTCTCTCTCTCTCTCTCTCTCTCTCTCTCTCTCTCTCTCTCTCTCTCTCTCTCTTCTCTCTCTCTCCCTTCCTCCTTCTCCCTCTCTCTCCTTCCTCACTCTCTCTCTCTCTCTCTCTCTCTCTCTCTCTCTCTCTCTCTCTCTCTCTCTCTCCCTTTCTCTCTCTCTCTCTCTCTCTCCCTCTCCCTCTCCCTCTCCCTCTCTTCCTCTCTCCCTTTCTCTCTCTCTCCCTTTCTCTCTCTCTCCCTCTGTCTCTCTCTCTCTCCTCTCTCCCTATCCTCTCCCTCTCCTCTCCTGTGTGTGTGTGTGTGTGTGTGTGTGTGTATCTGTATGTGTGTGTGTATGTGTATGTGTATGTGTGTGTGTGTGTGTGTGTGTGTGTGTGTGTGTGTGTGTGTGTGTGTGTGTGTGTGTGTGTGTGTGTGGTTGTATGTGTGCGTGCGTGCGTCTGTGTTTTGGGGGGTTGTACATATATGAACACGCACACACACATACATATATATATATATATATATATATATATATATATATATATATATATATATATATATATGTATATATATATATATATTTATATATATATAAGAAATATCTATGTATATATAATAAGTATATATTAATACATATATATATATATATATATATATATTATATATATATATATATATATATATATATATAAATATATATATATATATATATATATATATATATATATATATATATATATATATATATATATATATATATATATATATATAATAAAAAATATATATAATATATATATATATATATATATATATATATATATATATATATATATATATATATATAATAAAAAATATATATAATATATATATATATATATATATATATATATATATATATATATATATATATATATATATATATTAACACATATATACACCAATGCAGCCATGCTTATTGTATTTCTTGCCCTTGCCTGTTCCTTCCTGTCCTTCTCTCGCCTCCTTCCTCGCGGTTAACGAAATTCAAATAAGATAAAGATTCAATACTTATCGCTTCTTCCCTTCTTCCCCTTTCGTTCTTTTTCCTTTTCTCTGATTTGGAAAAGAAGTAGGAATTTTTAGCAATTTCCTCTTTTCTCTCCCCTTCTTGTCTTTTATCTTCTGCTTCGTTTTTATTTTAGCCTCTAAGGATAAAGATGAAATATATCTAACATGTGCCTCTCCTTCTCTCACCCTCCCCCCTCCCCCCCGCCCTCCCCCAGTACCGCCCCCGCAAGAAGGCCCGCCTGGTGCCCCCCTGCGGCTCCCGGACGCCCTCGCCCGGGGGCACGGGCGGCCCCCCCCGCCGCAAGCGCCGCCCGGCCGTCAAGCTGCTGTCGTCGACGCGGCTCCGGATCACGGTGTCGGCGACGCCCAAGCGGAAGCGGGGCGAGCGGCCGAGGAAGGGCGCGGGCGGCAGGAAGAAGAAGGGCGCCGCCGCCGCCTCGTCCTCCTCCTCGTCTGCGCCTTCGTCGTCGTCGTCGTCGTCGTCCTTCGCCTTCGGCTCGTCGTCGTCCTCGTCCTCCTCGTCTTCGTCTCCGAAGGCGCGGGGAAGGAAGGGCGGCGCCAAGGCCTCCAGGAAGGGCGGCTCCGGCCGGGGCGCGAGAGGCGGCGCCGGAGGGAGACACAAGAAGACCTCCTCCTCCTCCTCCTCCTCCTCCTCCTTCTTCGCCTCCTCCTCCTCGACCCTCACCCCCCCGACGCCCCCCTCGCCCTCCCCCCCGTCGCCCGAGTCGTCCGCCGCCTCCGCCTTCTTCCTGGACGACCACGCCCACACGCACCCCGACGAAGGCCCGACCACAAGTCTCAGCAGCGCCCTCATAGGCTGCTGCTCCTCCTCGGTCCTCGACACGCCCACGCCCTCGCCGGAGCCCGTGGACGCCGCCCACACGCCCACGCGGGACGCCCACCACGACAGCCTCGGGGACCTCGCCTACCTGGCCGACATTCTGCAGGTCAGAGATAGTCCTTCTCGTCGCCTTCCTGTTTTCCTTCTCTCTCCTTCTTCTTCTTCTCTCATTTCCGTTACTGTGGGTGTCTAGTTGTTCTTACTCAGGGGTGGGATATATTTTCCCACTGTTAGTGTACTTCGGTTCTTGTCCTTGTTGTTGTTGCAGTAAATATGGATCTTTCTGTGCCATTTCAACTTAAAACAATATATATTTTTTTTAATCTTCATTTCTTCGCGGTTTTAGACATCATTTGAACTTCATTACATATCCGTTTGTCTCCGTATTTCCCCGACCTATTCTCCCAAAAGATCGCGCTACATTCCTGTCGAGTTATTTATAGATTTTAAGCCGATGATTAAGAAACGCTCCACACGCGGGCCAGTGCCACAAAACTCTGCGGGGATCGCCAGCCAGGTTTCAAGTAGGAGACGTCGCGGAGGCATTGTGGGAATTGGTCTTGCTGTTGTTGGCGACGATGAGGATGATAACAATGATGATTGTGAAAAGAATGATAATAATAATTACGATGATAATAAAGATAATAAAAAAAATCATTATGTTGCTGTTTATGATGGAAATTCTATTAGTACTGGTATTATTACTGTTATTGTTGTTGGTGATATTATCATCATCATCATCATCATCATCATCATCATCATCATCATCATCATCATCATCATCATCATCATCACCCCCCCCCCCCCCACCCGCGAACACAAGCGGCCCCGACAGCACACACATGCAGACGCACACATGCATAAGTAAGCACACAGACTTGCGGGCATTGAATTAATTTCGCTATTATTAGAACACTCGGGCGGGAATTTCAAACGTATTTGAATATTTCCGTATAATTTATTGCCAGGCGAGGGGAGTGAGAGATTGGGGGGGGGGGGATTGGAGAGACAGTGGGGGGGGAGAAAGATAGGGGGGAAGGAGTAAGAGGGATGGGGTACAGAGAGAGAGAGAGAGAGAGAGAGAGAGAGAGAGAGAGAGAGAGAGAGAGAGAGAGAGAGAGAGAGAGAGAGAGAGAGAGACAGAGACAGACAGACAGACAGACAGACAAAGACAGGGAGAGAGAGACAGAGAGAGAGAAAGAGGGAGAGAAAGAGACCGACAGACAGAGACAGAGAGAGAGACAGACAGACAGAGAGAGATAGAGAGAAAGAAAGAGAGAGAGAGAGAAAGAAAGAGAGAGAGAGAGAGAGAGACAGACAGAGACAGGCAGACACAGAGAGAGAGACAGACAGACAGACAGACAGACAGACAGACAGACAAACAGACAAGAGAGAGAGAGAAGAAGAGAGAGAGAGAGAGACAGACAGACAGAGACAGGCAGACACAGAGAGAGAGAGAGACAGACAGACAGACAGACACAAAGAGAGAGAGAGAGAGAGAGAGAGAGAGAGAGAGAGAGAGAGAGAGAGAGAGAGAGAGAGAGAGAGAGAGAGAGAGAGAGAGCAAAAGGAATACAGATAGACAGAAACTGAAAAGAAACATGAATGAGAAGTGAAAGGAGGACATAGCTAAACGGAAGAGAAGGTAAGCCTCACACGCCACTCTCCCACTTCCTGCCAAAAGTTGATTCATATTGCATGCAAATGAACATAATGTCCTTAGACCTCTCCCTTCCCTCCCCCCCGTCTCCCCCCCCCCTCTCACTCTTCCCCTCCTCGCTCTCTCTCCCCGCTGCGTGGCCTTCCCTTCTCCCTTTCCTCTCTCGCTTTCTCCCATTTATTCAATTTCCCTCCCTCTCTCCTCTCTCTCTCTCTCCTCTCTCTCTCTCTCTCTCTCTCTCTCTCTCTCTCTCTCTCTCTCTCTCTCTCTCTCTCGCTTTCAATTCCAACGAGCCTTCCTCTCCTCTTCCCCTTTTCTCTCACTTCCCCTCTTCCCCTTTTCCTTTTCCCTATTTCTCCTCATCCTTTTTTCTCCCATCTTTCTCTCTCCCTTCTCAAACGCCCCCTCCCCCCCTCTCCCTCTTCCCTCCCCCTCCCTTCCCTTCTCAACCCCTCGCCATACGCACCCCCTCCCCCCCTCCCCTTCCCCCCTTCCGATTTCATGAATGTGTGATGTTTCTAGTAAGGGTTTTGGGGGGGGTTGCCAGTTATGCCATTTTGGTCAATTTAGGGTTGAGTGTGTGTGTGCGTCCGTACGCGTTCGTGTGTGTGCGTGTGTGTTA